CTTGCAAAAATAACCCCGCCTTGTGGTGGTTTATTTGTTCCTTTATCAATGCAGAACTAAAAACATCTTTGCCTGGAGAGGGAAACTCTTAAGGATGGAGTAGTGTAATCATAGCAATATGAGGCAAGCTGGGGTGATAGATACCACCTGGCAACCTTGACGAGAGTTCAGATGAGTGAAGTGCCCTGCACCCTCCATTTTGGTCCTCATTTCCCTGGTGATGGCGAGTAGAGTTGACCCATCCTGTAAGCAGAGGGAACTATGTCTGGGCAACATGTATTAACTGATTTGTGAACACACAAGTGTATTCTTTAAGGAAGCTGCAGGTGGCAGTGGGGACTGACCTGGGGGTAGAAATAGCTTTGAGACAAGAGGGCTACCCGTCAACGCATAGGGAAAAATTAAAGTGGCAGAGATTTCTGAAATTCATGACATGAAGATCTCCAGCTAAACCAGGCTGCAAGGGATGGGAACGGCTGGCTGTTCTTCCATGTTTATTTTTGTGAAAGCCTTGTTTTGGCTGTTGGGTCCCCGCCCCCCTCCCCCCCCATCTACAAACCATGCTTTTCTTTGTATCTTTCAGTTTCTTGTAGCCAATGGCTTAGTCCAACTAATGAGATATGAGTTGAAACAAGGTCCCATTAACTGTCTTCTGTTTCTTTCCTGCTGGTTGGACTTTGGTAACGCCTGAGGCAAACTTGTAGACCATGTGCTCTGGGGGCCTCTCCCATGGTGGGCTGCTTATCACTGGACTGTTTCCAATGTGTCTTCATAGCCTGTATATCGGAATACCACAGACTAAGTCATTTATAATGAACAGAAATGTATTTGGATCATGATTCTGGTGGCTAGGAAGGGTAGGACAGAGGAGTTAATATCTGGCAAAGACCTTCTGTCATCACACAGAAAAAGTCAGAAGGGCAAGAAGTGGTAAGAGGAAAGACCACAAGCCTTCACATATCTCATGTAATCAACACATCCCAGCAATCAAGAAGCCACTCCCATGATAGGAGCATTCATTGATGAGAGTGTTGGCTTCATAAGCCAATGTCTCCCCAGCATTGCCACACTGTAGATCAAAGGCCAACAGATGAACTTGGCCATGCACCAAGAGAGAACCAAACTGTATTTCAGTTAGGGATTTGGGTGTAAATTTTAAATTTGGGTGAATAAGCTAAAATTCTCAAAGAAGTCTTGACCTTCAGAATGCCTGCCTCTGGAGTCACGTGTGTTACTTTCATTTGAGCACTTGACATGATGGATCCTCTGTCCATGCATGGCTGTAGCATGGATCTGGGCTCCTTGATCAGAGTCCTTATAACTGGGAATCTCTCATGTACCAGGGTTGATGATGTACTACACAGTTAAAGTCACTAAAAGTGAATGTCACTGTTGTGACTTCTGTAGAGACTACCATGATCAGCAGCACACCAGGCACCTTCTTTGTCCCTGGCTTTTCTTTATACTGCCTCTTCCTCCTCCTTTTGACTTCTTACTGCTGCAGATGCCCAGCTCCTATTGGATACCTTCCTCCTTCGGCCCTCCCCCAGACTCAGCTCTTCAAGTGTCCCCAGCACCAGCCCAGGCTGAACTGTGGTCCATCTAGGCTGAGACATTCAGGACAAAAATATGTTTCTGTGTCTGGATAGGAGTCGCAGCAGAAGTTGTTTGGTCTGTCGCTGTTTCGCTGTTTCATCATGATCCCTGTCAGCTCCAAGTGAGGCAGAACAATGACATTTGTATCTCTGTGAGATTCTTGTTATACCTGGAGTCTGTGAAAAGACAGCTGCCTTCATGGTTGAGGCCTCAGTCTTTCCTCATGGCCTGAGCTGGCAAGTCTCACTACACTGGGACTTGAGAGAAGCATTTTTCAAAGACTGAATTTCCCCCAGAGGTACACACACAGCATCTTTTAATGTCAGTGTCTTAATCCAGTTCATAGTTTCAGACAAGTCATTGGAGGGAAGCAAATTTCCTGCCTCAAATGTGTTCATTTAGCACATTTTTAAATTAGTTTTTCAGAGAAATCGCAGACTCTTGCAGACAAAGGAATGCCTCTGAAAATGTGTCCTTTTGTGGAAAAAATACCACATCTATTTACATTAGTAAAGTAAATAGAAAGTGGGGACAGAGAAATCTTTCTCTGATTGCCCCCCCCTCCCCGCTCTGTCTAGGAAGGATCTTCCCACAGGGAGCAGTGATGGAGACTGTGACAGCTGCCTAGACAGACAGAAATTGTGATCGCTGCCTCGACAGACACAGGTGGCCGCTTACTCAGCAGATAAGCAGATAGCCTGTGCACATAGCAAAAGTCCTCTCTCACCGTCCTACAATCCGAGCCCACCCTATCCAAGGAGCCAGAAGCATCTATCTATTTATCTATCTGTCTATCTATCTATCTATCTATCTATCTATCTATCTATCTATCTATCTATCATCTATCTATTTATCATCTATCCATCCAACCATCCATCCATCCATCCATCCATCCATCCATCCATCCATCCATCCATCCATCCGTTTTTAGTTGTTTGGTACAGGGTCTTTGTATATTGCCTGGGCTGGTAGTGAACTCTCTTTGTGGTCCACGCTGTCCTTGAACTTGTAATCATCTTGTTTCTGTCCTAAGTTCTAGAGTTATAGTTGCACACCACCTTGCTCAATTATGACTCTTTATTTTCTAATAGCTTCTTTTCTTTTCTTTCTTTCTTTTTTTTTTTGGTTTTTAGAGAGAGGGTTTCTCTGTGAAATAGTCCTGGCTGTCCTGAAACTCACTCTGTAGATCAGGCTGGCCTTGAACTCACAGAGATCTGCCTGCCTCTGCCTCCTGAGTGCTGGGATTAAAGGCGTGCGCCACCACCGCCCGACAACTCTTTATTTTTTCTATATTTAAGTTTCAACCATGTGGCCCTAACTTTCAGTCTCAACTCTATGTGGTTCCTATACCAGTGTACAAAATATATTTGATTATTTTTCCGTCATTAACATCTATTTTCTACTCATTTCATAGACTGAAATCTTTGGAAGTCAAAGAGAACATTAGAAACCTCCCTATATGTTAATGTACAAACTAGGAGCTATTGGGAGGTCTCTGATTTGAAGGATGTCCCCCAAATTATGTCTCTCGCT